TGTCCATCCCAAGAAATGGTGTCAATTTCTGCCGGGTATCTTCTGCGTCCAGGCACCCTAGAAAAAGGGTGGGTACGGCCTAAGCAGGCCGGGTGGGAATTTAGGGTTTAGGGCTGAGGGCTTGAAGGTTTCGGGCTTCCGGGTTTTTTGGCCTCGGAGGCGTGCTTCAGGCTGCAGGGGTCGAGCTCGTTTCAAGGCATGTTTAGCGTAGGGGGTCTAAATAATTAGAATAGGGTTCCTTGCTATAATTATATAGTGTTATATACAGCGTAGGGGCCAACATGATTACCAATACTATTTTGGGGGGTTTCTTGGTATAATTGTAGCTTTTTTAGGCCCGAAAACCCTTTTCTCATGATTAAGGCCCCGACATGAGAGGGCTAAGGTCTGCTTATGTACAGTCTGTGCCCTCTGCCTCTGAGGCTACAACTAGCGCAGATAGATCTGTCACAAATTTTAAACCCTAAACCCTAAGCCCTAAACCCATGGCATAAACAGGCTTTAAATGCCTGCGCAACCCAGGATGGAAATGAGCCGCGAACTCTGAGTTAAGACCACCACTCCCATCGAACAGTGCTTTGTGTCAACCCCAAAGAAGCCTCATTTCGCTGGATCAAGATCTTCGCAGTCCTTGCCACCAGGCCGGTATTTTTCGCACGACTTCTGGGGTTTTGGATTTAAGCTCTGGGGTTTTACGGTTCGTTCCATGAGTCGTGCGGTTCTTCCTACTGCGCAGGCCGTCGCTGCATGGGTTCAGGCCTTTGGGTGATGTCCGCCATGGTTTTAGTCTGAACTAAACCTTGTCATGATGAAAGCATCTGTGCTGGTTTTTATGCTTGCTATGGTACATGCTCCTTGCCTCAGAACCGGAAGTATGACTGCCGACTAATGTACTACAGGGGCCTCAATAATTTGAATAGGGTTTCGGGGTATATTATACAATACCTAGAATCAGGACCCGAAAAAGTATTCTTCTTCTGATGGACTCCATGCAGAGCCCCGAGGAGCGCGTCCCAAAAATCCATGCTGAATTCGAGCGGCCCTGTGTAACACCAACAGGCGAGGAAGACGAAGAGCCGTAAACCCGATCAGACTAAGTCCGAAAAGTCGTCCTGCACCACTTCTCGCAAACCAAACAGTACACGGTGAGGGCGCCAGCAGCTGCACCTTCTCACAGGCCGAACGTACATAAATCTCCTTCTGAAGTTTGCCCTCAGACAGGAGAATGAATCAATACAGCGCTGCATGCTCGAGGCCTCCGGTGCCAAATTCTTCAGAAATTATTCAGCTGATCTCGCACAGCACTGCTGTCACCACGTAGTCAGCATCGCCCCAGGTCACGACGGAGCCGTCGCCCAGAGAGCCCAATACCCTTTAATTAAGGAATATACCTTAAATCATGATATTCAGGCCCCTATAGTTTAACGCTTTTTCCTTAATTAAGGGGTACTGGGCTCTCTGGGGCGTCAAAGAGGCATCAAGCACTCCAACCCCACTAAACTACGCCCCCTCGGCTCACTGAACCCTTGCATCCCTGGACCCCTAGACCTACCCTAGCTCAAGCTCTACCTTACCGCACCTGGTTTCGGATTCAGGGTTTAGGGCTTCAGGGATTTAGGGCTCAGGGTTTAGAGCTCAGGGTTCACCCTAAACCCTAAACCCTAAACCCCTAAACCCTAGCTAAACCCCTAAACCCTAAACCCCTCAATTAACCCTAAACCCCTGAGCCCTAAACCCTAAACCCCTAAACCCTTAAACCCTAAACCCTGGCTCAACCCCTAAACCCAAAGCCCTAAACCCCAAAGCCCTTAACCCTAAAAGGATTCTCGGCTTCAGGCTTCGGATTTGGAAACCCTAAACCCTAAACCCTAAACCCTAAACCCTAAACCCTAAACGAGATGCCGCCTTCCGGGCTTCCGACGAGCTTTTGGGCTTTTGGGCTTCGCCTTCGACCCTCTTAGGGTTTAGGGTTTAGGGTTTAGGGTTTAGGGTTTTTTTTTTTTAAAGTGTAGTAGCCCACCTTTCACTCAGCACGGCTCGCCCCTATTGGAGCATACACTGAATCATGACACCGTCGGCGCTTCAGCAGCCTAACAAATGTCAAATAAAAGTCCTATCCACCACTGACGACTAAGTCAGCAAGCAGCCACTCAAGCCAAAGTAAACTGAGGTCACAGGCCCATATGTTACAAGCGGCAGAGCACAAGTGTACAAACCGCGACTACAGATGCTGGGCAAGTCACAGCTACAGGCCAGGTACAAGCGGCACGAGGGCCTTGCTTTACAAACAGGGCCTCACGAAGCGTCAGAAGAGTCCTCACCTTCAGCAGAGTCATCTTCACCATCTGCACCAGGTTCGTCTCGTTCACGGACATCATCTTCACGCCGGGCATCACCAGCTTCACAACTACGGCTCCGACTTCGTTCACGGAGAGGAGGGAAAGGAGGTAGGCCAACAGCAGCTTGCGGCGCAATCATCTCAGTAGACGAGGATG